TTTGTCGGTCATGGGGCCTGAATTCTGGGCCTAGGTGCTGTCTCTCAGCTCTTCAGCTCAAGGCTAGCGCTCTACCACTTGAGCCACAGCACTACTTCCAGCTTTTTCTGCTTATGTGGTGCTGAGGAATCGAGCCCAGGGCCTCATGCATGCAAGGCAAGCAGTCTACCACTGAGCCACCTTCCCAGCCCCATTAGGGTTTTTCTTTAAAGTGACAAAACAGTTTTCACTTTGCTTGTTTGCAAGCTACCAGGGTCTTTTCTTTTTCTTTTTTCTTTTTGCCCGTCTTGGGACTTGAACTCAGGGCCGGCCTGGGTGTTGTCCTTGAGCCATTTTGTGCTCAAGGCTAGAACTCCACAGTGCCACTTCAGGGTTTTTTGAGTAGTATATTGGAGATAAAGAGTCTCACGGGGACTTCTTTGCTCAAGCTGCCTTTGAACTGCGATCCTCAGATCTCAGCCTAGTGAGTAGCCAGGATTACAGACATGAGCCACCAGTCCCTGGCCGAATAATGCTCTACTGCATATAAATGATACTTCATAAAGAAAGCTTTTAGTTTTACAATTGAGACTTGAATTGTACAAATTGTTTTCTTTGGATTTCATAATGTAGCAAGGTGCTTTATACGTATTTTCCCTTTCAACACAGAATATTGAAACATTCTCAGTGGTCATGATAATAAAATGTATAGTATGAGCCACTGGCTTTTGGAATCCTAGCTACTCAGGAGGTAGAAACTGGGGGGATGAAGGTTCTTGAGCTCAACCCCAGCAAAAAAACAAAAAAGTTACCAAGAATCCATCTCAGGGAAGAAAAAAGTAGATATGGTAGTATGTTCCTGTTCTTCTAGTTCTGTGGGAGGCTTAAGGAAGGAAGAAAGCAGTCCATGCCAGTCCAGGGAAGAAGAGAACCTATCTGAAAAATAAACCACAAAGGAGCTGGGAGGCAGGCTAAAGTGCTTGCCTAGCAAGCAAGAGGCTCTGAGTTTAAGCCATAGTACTGACAACAGCAACATAAAGAACATAAAAATGTAACACTGTGCGTGTGTCTGTGATCATATGCATGCTCATGGTGCATGGCTTCAACTCAGCGTCTGGGTGCTAGCCTTTTTTTCCCTCAAAGCTAGCGCTCTACCACTTGAGTTATAGTGCCGCTTTTGACTTTTTGGTGGTTAATTGGAGGTAAGAGTCGAATAGACTTTCCTGCCCCAGAAAGCTTCCAGTTTTGAGCCTTAAATGTCACAGCCTCCTGAGTAGCTATGATTATAGGCAGGATTCATTTGTACCTAGTGGTAACTGACTTTTAAAAAAAAAGAAAACAAAAACTTTAAGTTAGATGACTTAGTAAAATTTGGTGCAACTGCCTTGATTTGTTCTAAGGTCAGTGTTTTGTTCATTTTTTTTTTTGTGCCCTCATTGAAAATGTCCACAGTGGAAAAGACATGTTTTAGTAATAATATGAAAGCATGGACCTCCATAAATGGACTTTGAAACCCATAGAAATTCATTGACCATACTTTAAGAATAGCTGATTTTAGGCTGGGTGCCGTGGCTCATTCCTATAATCCTAGCTACTCAGGAGGCTGAGATCTGAGGATCATCAGCCTGGGCAGGAAAGTCTGTGAGACTTTTAACTCCAATTAACCACCAGATGCCAGAAGTGGTGCTGTGGCTCAAGTGGTAGAGTGCTAGCCTTGAGCTGAAGAGCTCAGGTACAGTGCCTAGGCCCAGAGTTGAAGCCCCATGATGGACAAAAGAAAAAAAAAAAAGAATAGCTGATTTAGTTTTACTGGTTTTCCATTTGTCTGAGATGAAATAGTTCACAAGGTATAGGGAAGAGGAAACTGATGGAAGTATACAACTTATTAAATAAAAGTTCTATCACTAAGAAAATGAAAGAATGAAGAATAAATATGTTGGAAGAAGAAAACAGGTTCTCTTTTTCTCAGGGTCTAAGGATTAGAGATAGGAATGTTGATTGGTATAGCTCAGAGAACATTTGTTCAAGGGTTATTAAATATTATGTATATTAATACTAACTATAAATGTCCATGTAATTGAACATCTTTCACATATTGAGAATAGTAGTTTTGCCATGGAAATGAGTTGAAAAAGGCAGAAGAAGGGAACTTAGGTAGTGCCAGTGGCTAACAGGAAGAAGAGAACAGGATGATAGTGGTAAGGACACTGAGAAAGGAGAATTTCATGATAGTCAATACTATCTAATGCTTAGGAGAAGACAGATGAGGCTACAGACCTGATCATTGCAGTAGATAGTGTAACCTTTGCCAGAGCCACTAGAGTTTGAATCTAGATTACAGAATAGTAAAAAGTGCAGAGGCAGCTGTTTGTTCTTTCAAGGAGTTTTGAGGTCAAGTGAGATGGGAAGGCTGGACAGACAATTGAAGTGATGTGAGCAAATTCTTAGTTTGAAAGAAAAGAGCTTTAGAGCTCCTGATAAAGAAAATTGATGAAACAAATTGGTTTTCTAAGTGTAGTGTAGTTAACCTTATAGTACAATTTATACTTGAAGCAAAGCTGATGGAAACTGGATTCCTGGCCATAAAAATTCTGACCTTTGACATCTCACATACAGTTTTTTTCTGTATGAACCCAAGAAGTTCATTACTAATTTTATCTATTATTGGGTATTTAATTTTAAGAAATCTAAAGAGATTTTTCTTTTAACTGCAAATTATTTAATCTGATTTCTACAGTCAACTGAAATAATTTGTTCTATTTGGCAACTTTAAATCTGTGGTTAACAAAGAACAAGAAGGATAAAATTTTTAGGGGATTGTGTTTCTCTCATCCTCCAGATGAAAGACATTTGAGTCTCCAGAGTGGTTCCATAGTTGTTTTCTTTCTAGAGGCAGAATTTTGACAATAGCCTTAAGAAGTGCTTATATTAAAAATGTGTGTTAGTTTTGAATGTGCTTGTATTTCTAACTTCCTTCTTTTTCTTTTCTCTTTTAGTTTGTTCTCAGGGGAGGCAGCAAGGGGCCGTGGAGCTGGCCTCAGCACCAGAAGAGGCTGGACTTCCTGTCTCTCTGTGCTGAATGGCTGCGATGGCGCCCGCTCTCACTGACGCAGCAGCTGAAGCACACCACATCCGGTTCAAACTGGCTCCCCCATCCTCCACCTTGTCGCCAGGCAGTGCCGAAAATAACGGCAACGCCAACCTCCTTATTGCTGCCAACGGAACCAAAAGAAAAGCCATTGCTGCAGAGGATCCTAGTCTAGATTTCCGAAATAATCCTACCAAGGAAGATTTGGGAAAGCTGCAACCACTGGTGGCATCCTATCTCTGCTCTGATGTAACATCTGTTCCCTCCAAGGAATCTTTGAAATTACAAGGGGTGTTTAGCAAGCAGACAGTCCTTAAGTCTCATCCTCTCTTGTCGCAGTCCTATGAACTCCGAGCTGAGTTGTTGGGGAGACAGCCAGTTTTGGAGTTTTCCTTAGAAAATCTTAGAACCATGAATACAAGTGGCCAGACAGCTCTTCCACAAGCGCCTGTCAATGGATTGGCTAAGAAATTGACTAAAAGTTCAACACATTCTGATCATGACAATTCCACTTCCCTCAATGGGGGAAAACGGGCTCTCACTTCATCTGCTCTACAGGGAGGTGAAGTAGGGGGATGTGACTCTGGGGACTTAAAGGGGGGTATGACCAATTGCACTCTTCCACACAGAAGCCTTGATGTAGAACACACAACTCTATATAGCAATAATAGCACTGCAAACAAATCTTCTGTCAATTCCATGGAACAGCCCGCACTTCAAGGAAGCAGCAGGTTATCACCTGTTACAGACTCTTGCTCTAACTTGGGAGGTGTCAAGTTAGAGGGCAAAAAGTCTCCCCAGTCTTCCATTCTTTTCAGTGCTTTAGATTCTGATACAAGAATCACAGCTTTACTGAGGCGACAAGCTGATATTGAGATCCGTGCCCGCAGGTTACAGAAGCGCTTACAGGTTGTACAAGCCAAGCAGGTGGAGAGGCATTTACAGCATCAATTGGGTGGATTTTTGGAGAAGACTTTGAGTAAACTGCCAAATTTGGAATCCTTGAGGTCCCGGAGCCAGTTGATGCTGACCCGAAAGGCTGAAGCTGCCTTGAGAAAGGCTGCCAATGAGACCACCACTTCAGAAGGACTTAGCAATTTCTTGAAAAGCAATTCAGTTTCAGAAGAGTTGGAGAGATTTACAGCTAGTGGCATAGCCAATTTGAGGTGCAGTGAACAAGCATTTGATTCCGACGTCACTGACAGTAGTTCTGGAGGAGAGTCTGATATTGAAGAGGAAGAACTGACCAGAGCCGATCCTGAGCAGTGCCATGTACCCCTGTGAGTAGAACCCATGGAAATGTGTAATGTCATTTTTAGGCAAGGGAGGAAGACACAGTGAATTCTCAGTTTGGAAAGAATATAATTCTTCGTATATTGGTGGTTAGGTTCTGTTTCTCTTTTTTCTTAGTTTTAAGTAGTTAGGTGCTTAATATACCTTGTTTTAAAATGGCAGGTAGGGGCTGTAAATGTGTCTTAGTGGTAGGGTGCTTGCCTAACATGCGTAAGGCCCTGGGTCTGATTCCTCAGTACCACATACACAGAAAAAAAAAAAAAGCCAGAAGTGGCGCTGAGGCTCAAGTGATAGAGTGTTAAGTCTTGAGCAAAAGTTCAGGGATAGTGCCCAGGCCTTGAGTTCAAGCTCCAGGATTAGGGATGGGGGTGGGGGGAAGGTATTTTTTGCTATATTATTGCTGATGCTAAAAGTTGCTTGCTTTCTTTTGAAGTCTTACTAAAAAAAATTGGGAAGGTGGCTCAGTGGTAGACTGCTTACCTTGGCATGCATGAGGCACTCTGGGTTTGATTCCTCAGCACCACAAGAGCAGAAAAAGCTGCAAGTGGCGCTATGGCTCAAATGACAGAGCACTAGCCCTGAGCTGAAGAGCTGAGGGACAGTGCCAAGGCCCAGAGTTTGGGGACCCCCCTCCTATCCACCCCCTCATTATGACTAAATAAATAATTACTAGAAGTCCCCATTAATAACATTTCTTTTGGAAAAAATATATAAGACATTTTGTTATTTGTAAGTAATAATGGTGTTAAGTTGGTTGGACGTTATAGTTGGACTTTTAATTGAACTTTTTTTTTTTTTTTTGGTTGGTTGTGGGGCTTGAACTCGGCCTAGGCGTTATCCTTCAGCTCTTCAGTCCAAGGCTAGTGCTCTACCTTTTGAGCCACTGTGCACTTCCGGTTTTCTGAGTGGTTTATTGGAGATAGGAGCCTCATGGACTTTCCTGCCCGGGCTGGCTTTGAAGAGTGATCCTCAGATCTCAGCCTTCTGAGTAGCTAGGATTACAAGTGTCAGCCACAGGCACCCGGCTAATTGAACTTTTAACAGAGAACATAGTCTGTAATTTTAACACTTTACTCTTTAAAAAAAAAGTGGGTGTGGGTGGTTCTGGGTTTGAGTTGTGCTTGCTAGGCAGGCACTCTTCCAATTGTTTCTGTTATTTTTTGAATAGAGTCTCATTTTTTTTCCTGGACTCTGATCCTCCTAGTTAGATTTTTCTGTGTAGCTAGGATGAATGACATATGCTATCATGTCTAGCTTTTTGGTGGTTGAGATACGATGTCTCTTGAACTTTTCTCTGTTTCCACTTCCCCTAGTAGCTGGGATTATAGGTTTAAGCCAACACACCCAGCACACCTGATATTTTCTTATTGTCATCTTTTTTCTTCTCATCACAGTAGTCAATATAGAAGACATCTGTGATCTTGAAAAGTCTGGAGATTTCTCCAAACCAGTAAGCAAGCAAGCAATTGTTGGATACCAACTCGTTGTCTTTTTAATAAAATTGAACTCTGACACTACTTGGAGTGGATTCAGTTATCAAGACTGTTTCCCCACCTCCTCTGCCTTGCAAATAGCAGTTGCTAGTCCCAGATGGTGTTACCTGTGCTACTGACTGGTTGGCTAGATGTAGATCAGTGTTCCCACAACTACCTAACTACCTCCTTGAATTTGATTAATTTGCTTAAGTCGCTCCAGAACTTGGAAAGTCTGTTATGATGTTTGTTTAGAAATATTATAAAGGCCCTGGCGCTGGTGGCTCATACCTGTAATCCTAGCTATTCAGGAGGCTGAGATCTGAGGATCGCGGTTCAAAGCCAGCCTGGGCAGGAAAGTCCGGGAAACTCTTTTATCTCCAATAAACACCAGAAAGCCGGAAGTGGCTCTGTGGCTCAAGTGGTAGAGCACTAGCCTTAAGCTGAAGAGCTGAGGGACAGCGCCCAGGCCCAGAGTTCAAGCCCAGGTTGGACCAAAAAAAAAAGAAAAAAAGATTATAAAGGATGCAGATGAGGCATGCATAGGAAAGGAGCATGGAAACTGAATGCTCTTTTAGGATGTGCTATCCTGTAGGAACCTCTGTTAAGCTATGCAAAGCTCTTTGACTCCTGTTTCTTGGTTTTCATGCAGTTTGATTATATTGACATGATTCATTATATCATTTGGTATTGGTGAAAACAATCTTCAGTTCTCCCTCTTCTCTGGAGGTTGGGGATGGGAATAAGAGTCCTAGCTAGCCCAGGTGGTTGCTGGTGGCTCAGCCCTGTAATCCTAGCAACTTTGGAAGCTGAGATCTGAGGATTGTGGTTTGAACCAGCCTGGGCAAGAAAAGTCTGTGAAACTTATCTCCAATCAAACACACACACGCACGCATGCACGCACGCGCGCGCGCGCCAGAAGTGCAGCTGTGCTTCAAGTAATAGAGCCACACACACACACGCCAGAAGTGCAGCTGTGCTTCAAGTAATAGAGCCAAAAAATTCAGGAACGTGCCCAGGCTCTTGAGTTCAAACCCCAAGACTGGCACACACTCTCTTCCGCCATACTCCTAGCTAGTCTAGGCAGAAGAGTCCAAAAGAGGCTCTCTTCCCAAAATGCCACCTTTGCCCACTACAGTAATCCTAGCTACTTAGGAGGCTAAGTAGCTGTTCAAAGCTAGCCCAGGCAGGAAAATCTATGAGACTTTATTTGGTGCTGGTCATGGAGCTTAGACTTGAATCTTTGGCACTGACTCTGAGCATTTGTGATCAAGACTAGCTAGCGCTCTACCACTTGAACCAGAGATCCACTTTAGGGTTTGTTTTTCTTCTTTTTTCTTCTGTGATTAATTGGAGATAGAAGTTTAATGGGTTTTCCTGTTCAGCTTGGCTTAGAACCACAATCCTCAGATCTCACTCAGCCTTCTGTGTAGTTAGGATTACAGGTGTTAGCCACCAGGACTGGGCCCCATGAGACTTACCTCCAAGAAAAAAAGCTGTGGCTCTAATGGTAGAGCACTAGCCTGAGCACAAAAGCTAAGGGACAGCACCTAGACACTGAGTTCAAACCCCAGCACTGGCACAAAAAAAGCCAGACTATAGGTATGGGTCAAATGGTTCAGCTCTAGCCTTAAGCAAGAAAGCTAAGTGAGAGTGTGAGGTTTTGAGTTCAAGCCAGACTAATAGTAGGGTGCTGGTGGAGGATTGTAATCCTAGATATTCCAAAGGTTGAAATCTGAGCATCTTGGTTTGAAGCAAACCTGGCTAGAGTGCTAGCCTTGAGCAAAAATGCTCAGGGACAGCCCTCACGCACGCCCTGAAGCCCCATGAATAGCAAGCAAGCAAGCAAACACATACACACACACACACACACATGCGCGCGCACACACACACACACACCATGAATACTGGAGCAAGATGTGTGTGTGTGTTCGTGTGTTCTGAGGCTTGAACTCAAGGCCTGGGCACTGCCCCTCAGCTCTTCAGTTCAAGGCTAGCACTCTACCACTTAGAGCCACAGTACAATTTACGGTTTTCTAGTGATTTATTGGAGATAAGAATCTCAGCCCTGAACGGAGATCCTCAGATCTCAGCCCCCTGAGTAGCTAGGTTTACAGGTGTGAGCCACCGGCGCCCGGCCAAAGTCACCAGATTTTTAAGACTTTATTTAGCCAGTATATTAAGTATTTTAAAGTTTTTCAGCAATTGGTCGGTGAGAGTAGAGCATTGTTTTTAGTTGAAAGAGAGAGGAAGTTGCTCTTTGTATGGTTTTCTTTATAAGTAGTCCCAGGTCGCATAGCCACATTGAAATTGTTGAATTTTAGAATGAAAAGTTAGTTAGCTCTTCAGAAGTCTAACCTAACTGGTAATTTTAATTGACTTCTCCCTTTACAGTTTTCTGTCTTACGTTTTATTCCTTTTGCCAGAGATAGAAATGGGCTACATTTAGTCTAGGCAACTATGATGAAAATATTTTCTACAGATGATTGTTGGAATGAGTTGTTTTTAAATAATGTTGCTTAAGTTACAAGTGGATGGTTCTGTGAAGATTGCAGGCCCATTGCAGGCCTTTCACCAAAATTTCGATATATTTTTTCTTTACCTTCTAGAGGTAGTAAAGGGGGATGGGAGACAGTGATTTATTTTAGGTCTTTAGCACATGTTAAGTGTAGCAGAATGATATTCTCTCTCTCTTTTATTTTTTGGTGCTGGTACTGGAGTATAAACTCAAGGCTTTATGCTTTTGCATTCCACTTTGTTTTGCTCAAGAGCTGATGCTTTACCACTTGAACCATTCCTCCAGTTTCAGCTTTTTGCTTGTTAATTTTAGACAAGAGTCTCTAATAGTTACCTGTGTGGGCCGGCTTGGAACCTAACCTGATCCTGAGATTCCAGCCTCCTGAGTGGCTAGGATTATAGAAACAAGCCTCTGGCTTCCAGCTCTGTGTGTGTGTGTGTGTGTGTGTGTGTGTGTGTGTGTGTGTGTGTAATTTTGGGAAATTGAATGTCATGTATTATGAATAGTAGAACAGTAATAGATTTTGAGGGTCACTCTGGTTAATTTTTTGTTAATTGATTTTATGTTTGGTTTAAAAAGTGTATGTGCACACGTGTGCATGTGTGTGAGCACATGTACATGTATATACCAGTTGTGGGGCTTGAATTCAGGCCTGGACACTGTCCCTGAGTGTGTGGTTGTGCGTGTGTCTGTGTGTCTGTCATGGGGCTTGAACTTGGGTCCTGGACACTTCCCTGAGTTCTTTTGCTCAAGGCGAGCGCTGTACCACTTGAGCCATAGCACCACTCCAGGTTTTCTGGTGGTTCATTCATGATGAGTCTCATGGACTTTACTGCCTGGGCTGGCTTTGAACTGTGATCCTCCGATCTCAGCCTTCTGGGTATCTAGGATTATAGGTGTGAGCCATCTGTACCCAGCCCCTGAGCTTTTTGCTTTAGCTTTTGGTGCTTCCTCTTGAACCACAGCTCCATTTCTGGCCTTTTGTGCTTAATTGGAGATAAGACTTCATGGACTTTGCTGCCCAGGCTGACTTCAAATTACAATACTGGATCTCAGCATCTTGAGTAGCTTAGAGTTAAGAGTTGTTGAGCCACTGGAACCTGGCTTGTTTTCTTGTTGTTTTTTATCTCATAGCTCCTGAAGTCTGTTCCAAAGCATAATTGGTTAACAAATTGTTAGAGCTCAGTTCAGTGACAGTAAAGTACTTATTTGAAATTTAGATGGTCTTAATTGCAGTAAGTTAACTTCTCTGTTGTTTCTTCTTGGAGTTACAGACTTTAGAGTACAGTAATTTACTAATGTTTTGTAAATTTCACCTTTTAGGGTCTTTAGGAGGTTTTAATATTACAGTTCCTATTTGAAGTTAAGGGCATGGACGTGCTGTTGTTAGGAGCAGCAATCATTGATTTGTTGTTTTCCTATTCTTTCCTACCTTGTAGAGTAGAAGAAACATTAGCCAGAAGACCTGACTTCTCTGCTCAAGACAGGCTAAAGGATTAATCATGTAACTATTTTTCTAACTAAAATTGAAGGAGTATATTACATATTTATGACTCTACTGCAGCTTTTTATTTTTATTTTTTAATTAATTAATTAATTTTTTCGGGGGGTCTGTTGTGGGGCCTGAACTCTGGACCTGGGCTCTGTCCCTCAGCTCTTCAGCTCAAGGCAGTGCCCTACCACTTGAGCCATAACACCACTTCTGGCCTTTTCTGCCTATGTGGTGCTGAGGAATCTAACCCAGGGCTTCATGCATGCAAGGCGAGCAGTCTACCACTGAGCAACCTTCCAAGCCCCCTTTTTAATTAAAAAAAATTTTTTTTTTACATTGCTATAGGGAATTTGCCCTGGGCTTTGTGCATATTAGGAAAGTGCTCTACCACTTACACCCTCAACTTGCTTTGAAATGTGATTTTATATTCCTGAGCTATTCTAACCAGTTTTCATCATTTGGAGGATCTGAGGCAAAAACTTAGTGAGTCAGATAGAACTTGAAACAAAACAAGTTTCTTGACTTGAGACTTAACTTTGTTGTGTGTGCACACGTACACACATGCATGCATACATGCTGGTCCTTGGGCTTGAACTAAAGGTTTGGGCACTGTCCTTTAGCTTTTTCTGCTCAAGGCTAGTATTCTACCACTTTAGCCACAGTTCCTCTTCTAGCTTTTTGGTGGTTAATTGGAGATGAGTCCACAATATTCATATCTCAGCTTCCTGTGTAACTAGAATTACAGGCATGAGCCATAAAGGCCTGGCAGCTTTGGACTTTTAATGTGTTAATTTCTTTGATTTATTTATTTTTCCATAGTCCATTAGAAGTGCTTATTGTGTTTGTTGGCATATTATAAATTTATCTCGGAGATTAGTAAACTTTGATTTGCTGAATATCTTTGATTTATTTTTGGTCTGGTCGTAGGGCCTGAACTCTGGGCCTGGGCGCTGTCCCTCAGCTCTTCAGCTC